CCCCTCCACATCGACCCCCCCGTTGGGTAATAGCTTGCTTCCCTGGCCAAGGTCCTGACTCGACGCGATTATAACTATGGATGCTAGATTTTAGGATATATGTAAGCCTGGGGGAGGGGAACCACTTCTTGTCCTCCTCCCCCAGTTCTTTCTTGGATGCGGAGCCTTGTCGCATCTGATCTATCTCTTCCCGTCTCCATGCCTCCCCGACGATCCTGCATGTTCTGACAGATGCGCAACATGTCCAATTGATAGTCGTCCCATCGCTTGATGACGACAATGCTGCGACACCGACTGCCTATACCGTAGCGCCCGACTTTCTCACTCAGCGAAACACGGGGGAAGGGGATTACCTCAGAGTACCGGCACCCGAACGGGCTCAGGAGAGAAGAAAAACCAACGAACAGAACCGAAAGGGGGGATCGGGGAGTGGGGAGTACAAACGATCCGACCGGAAAGAGACGCAGAGAAGGAGTCTTGAAGAACAAAGGAAAAGAAAGTCAAAAAAAGAAAGAAAGCAGACTATGGTTCTCAGCACAGTCGCCTTCGACATTTCGTCGGCCTGCATCTGCGGCACCCTCATCCTGACCCGGTGTCTGTACCGTCTCTTCTTCACATGCAAGGTCCATCCCACCTGCCACCGGAGATGGCGGGTCGACGATGCATATATGGCGTTCGCCATCATTCCTCTCGTGGCCCGGACGGCGACGATTTCCACGTCTTTCAAGCTCAACCCTGACCAGCTCACGACGCCCGTGACGATGGAGGAGGCCGAGATGGCGAATATGAGCGTGGAAGACCTGACGGCGGACCGGATTTTGTCAAGACAGCTGCTCTTGCCGGCGCGCATTTTCTATGCTTTATTGTGAGCATCCCTTTGTATATGAGTGGTTCGGCATTGGGGGAGAATGTCAGGGACTAACTTGGATATAGCTTGTGGTGTCTTAAGCTCTGCCTGCTTTCCTTCTACACACGATTCGTGGACCCTCTGGAATGGGGGAAGAAGGTCATCACGACCTTGAGATGGGTGATTTGTCTCACCTTCATCGCCGTCCTCATCTCAACAGTAGCAGAATGTCACCCTCTCCAATTGTGAGTCTTGCCAATTCTCAGTGGACCTTACCCGGAGCGGAATTGTTGCTAATAATAAGAAATAGAGCCTGGAAACTGGCTTCCGCGGCAGACCGTAAGTTAGAAGATGAAACCATTCCATGGGCGACGAACTTGTAACTAACTAACCGCCTATCCAGGCCCTCAATGTAGCCGAGCGCTGGTGAACCTGCTCGTAATGGTGAGACCCCAAACTCCAAGCTTGACTTTTCTCCTTGTATATCCTAACGATGTGATGCTCTACAGGCCGTTTTCAACATCATAACCGACGTCGCCCTCATCATTCTTCCCTTTCCTATGCTCCGCAACGTCCGACTGGATCGAAAATCGTATGTCACACTCCCCATCTAATGCTCGTGGAGTCCTGATATCGCTGACACAATTTTCTATAGCAAAATCCAGCTTTCCTTCCTGTTCGGCATCGGCTTCGTCGTCGTTGTCATCACCATCCTGCGCATCCCTCTCATCCTTATCAACTCCGTCTCACAACAATCACGTTCATTGGTACGTCGTCATCCACATGAGCCACATCTATATGATGGGATCTGACATTTTTAAACAGTGGGCATCCATCGAAACTCTCTGCGCATGTATAGTAGCCAACACGGCCTTCTTCTACACCCTGGTCAAGGACCTCCAGGGTCGACACAGCCACTCCAAAAACAGCTCCAACCACGTTGTGGGCGGCAACTTTTACCTACAGAGCCTGCCATCGTCATCAGGATACCCCGATGGCTCTGAACGTCCGAAGACGGCGGACGAGGGCAGCCGGCGGGGGCTACAGCCAATAGTGTAGCCGTCGAGAGCATATCAAAGAAAAGGGCACCTAATTCAAAATCCTGTATATATTTGCGTCTTAGCCGACAGCGGCCCTACGGTACAAAAACTCAAAATAAGTAAAAATTGTAAAAAATCATGTCTCTCTCGTCCGATCTGTCTTGATCTATCCATGTCCTGAGTGGGAGCTTGCCTGAAGCAGTGTGGCAAGACGACGATCAAAAGGAGGGGGAACACGTGCATCATCGAGACCCCAGACTAGACTAATAGCACCGCTAGCACATATCGTGGCTTGGTGGGTGACAGAAGCATACGGCACTAGATTGAGGCTAAAGAAATAGTTAGTTTGGGAGGATAATCTCTTTTACCTTTTCAGGGGGATGGGTGACGATATCCTGGGTAGCACAGTAATAGTGGAGCATCGAAGGATGCTGGTGCTTTGGTGTGTCGGTTTTATGGTCAGCAGCCTCTTGATTCATTCGCAAGCAGCTTGCCAGGGGCCTGTGAGATTTTAGAGTCCTTCGGTATTACACTTTGGGTTGCAACTGCGACTCAGACCTGCCGATCTATCTGTCACGACATGACACGCCAGTGAGGCTGCCTGATGGTGATCAGCATTCCTCAAGCAGCTGGCTTCTTGTCCCACGAGACTTCTTTCCTTGTCTAAGGGTCTTGAATTCCTCCCTAACTCGTAGCTCTCATACCAAACCAGCGGTATCGTCTTGGGATCTCGGCCCCGATTAGAGGTTCCCCGGCCGGCCCGGGCACCGCCACTTCTTTACCATTCCAGGGGGATATATGACCCGGCATTCTGGTCAGCGCCACCCAAGCGGCAAACCAGGTCTGGAGCCCAAGAGATCTCATGAATGGAATGGATGATTGTTCAGCATGGAGGCCCGTTACTTGATTCTCTATGTTTTCTTCAAGCAGCACCGACTGGGCTGTCAGTATGACATTGACTCAGGTATTCCAGACCCTGTATCTCTCCTAACAGCCATCCATCTCAGAACAAAGAACCCATCCATGGAAACATAGACCACAAGATCCCTCACGTAGCAGAGTAGCCCCCGTCCACAAATATCGTCTGCCCCGTCACCGCCGCACTCGCCTCGCTCGCCAGGTACACGGCAACACCCGCAAAGTCCCCCGGCACCCCATTCCTCTTGATCATGGCCCGCCTGGCGTGCGCCTCGGCTTTCGCGCCCCCTTCGTCGCCGCTGAA